AGGCCGAATTACGAGGGGAAGCGGCGGCAGCGATTCAAGCGGAAGCGGCGCGATTGATCTCTAATCGCGTAGCGTATCGCGTGCTATAATTCACACGTCGGCGTATCGAGCGCGCGCATCGCTAGCTGGTGAAATTATCGCCACCGCTACTGGCGGACAATAATTTTGCGGGCAACTCCAAGAGCGCACGAAAGAGAGAAAGAGAGAGGGGTGAGGAGGGGGGGAGAGAAGAGAGAGGGAGAGAGGGGGAAGAGAGAGAGAGAGAGAGAGAGCTTTTATAGGTCGCTGCTTCAAAATAAAACCCAATACGCCGCAATACGAAACGCTTGAAAGGATATAGTATAGGAGGCGACTTAGGCGCCATTGAAAGATCGCGTATCGGATAGATCCATATATGTGAGGGTGAATCACGTGCGTTATGGATTAGGAGGAACGGAATTTGTATTTTCTATATAATCACACATTTAAATACGTCTTTGAAAAATAAAAAAAAAACAGATTATAAATTATTTTAAATATCAAGAAAACAAGAAAGAGAGAGAGAATGAGTATTGTATGCGATATCATAGTATTTGCTAATCATTTATGTACCTCAGTTAATTTTGCGCACCCAGAAAATTTTTGCTGTGGTTGCAATACCACTTTTTTGAGTGTACATTAATATAATTAAATGTATATATAAAATTTCGTTATGAAGTAAGATTTGTTTCAAAGTAACAGTGATTTGCAGCTTATCGTCAGACTTTTCTTCAGAACCTATTAATTTTTACATCCGTGATATTTTCGAAGCGACCATTGCCATTTTTTGACATTGAGTGAAAAAACGGAGGACGGTAGCTCTAGAACATACGGAGTATACTTAATATACGTCACGTTCGCGGAGGCGCCAGGCATGGAGAGAGTAAGAACACATATTTTCGACGGAGGTGAACGAGATCACGGAAGGAGAGCGGGTACGAAACTGCAGGCATGCACGGCCTGCAGGACGTGTGTCGCCGCGGTCGACCGCCAGTTTTATAAGGCCGTAAAGTTTGTCCCGCGGGTACCTTCCTTCCTTCCTTCCTTCCTTCCTGTCTGCCTTGCCCGCCCACGCTGCGCCCTGCGCCTCGTATATCACACGTACCGTGATTTAACCCGCCCGGCAGCGCTCATCCTCTTACAACACCCGAGACGAATTTTATACACACAATAAATTGCAAGACTTATACACACACACACACATATATATATGTCTCTTGAAATTTTATGTAAAAAATTACAATAATTATATCCAAAAAGTGACCAACAAAATAAATGTATTCTGAAAATAAATGTTACTTATTTTCATTATTTCGCGAAGCAATTATGTAAAAAGTGAATATTAAATATTAAGTATTGTTTTTTTAATTTGAATCCATTTCCCATATGTATAAGAGTATTTAATTTGATTTTAAAATTCTTTAGCGCAAATCAGATTTTTCTAATCATTTATTCGCTATCCTATAAACAAGAGTTTTGCAGTTTTTTTTCTATAAGCTTACCAAATATTTCAGTGTTGTTCTGTTATACTATGTATTTTGTATATATTTTTTTTCTCGAATACATACACATACATATTCAAGAATTCTTTTTCACATTAAGATTATAAAACATTAGAAAGATTATTAAACATTAGAATAAGTTAAGATTTCACTTTTTAATAAAGAAATTAGAAAACCGAGAAATATATATTTGTTCATGTTAATTCATTTAATTTAATGCGAAAATTCATTTTTATGCATTCATAAAAAACAAAAAAATATTTCGATAAAATTAAGGAAGCGCAATAAAAAATAGACATAATTTTTGACTTATTAATCCTTTGAGTTTCACATATTTAACGATATAGATTCTTTACCAACATACTTAAAAAATTGTTTTAAATTTCGATTTTATTTCGGCGGACATTATTTTAAGGTTACTGCAATCTTGCAGGATATCGTAAAATCCGCTATTGCATGTTTCGAAAAATTTTTAGAACTGCTACTCTACTCTCATTATCTCCATATGTCTGGTCAAATTCATTTCAATAATCTCTTAACCACACGTCTTCTAGACTGGACGCAGAATTCTGGTAGCACATCTTTGACATGTGATTGAAGATATATATATGTTCGCACCACCATAAGGCACATATCAAATTATAAACCGTGAGAATTTAATGATCACACCCGTATACGCATTTGGAAGACCTTGGCCTCGACGGCTGCTCGTCACCGTGTTGCGCAGCTACGCATGGCAAGGGGAAGGGAGGATACGTTCAATATACAATTAGTTTCAAAACTTTTCAGTTAGCCCTCATATATGTGTGCACATACACATATGTGTAATAAAATATTAAGCGCATTGAAATAAATAAAATTTATATATTAATAGCTTTCTCAGATTTTTTAATATAAGATTGCAAAATATCAAATATTTGCTGAATAATTTATCTATAATAAATGTGTATCGTAATTCGGGGATTCTCTAACAACAATCAACTCTAATATATTATTCTATATATTTATATAATAATAGAAATAAAATAATCTTTTTTTCCATTATTTCTTTATTTTTCTACGTTGCGTACATATATTTATTTCTGTCACGACACGAAATCGAGCCGCGAGCTTTGCGGTTTGCGGCCACATCTTTCAAGCGACGGTGTTGTAGAGCGTCGGGAAATCAAGCGACTTTATCGGTGAATGTTCCGATAAGGCGCCAAAGGTGTAGCGTGCGCGCGCGATCGTGCTTTATGCCGTGACAAGTGCGCTTTGTTGAAGCGAGCGAGCCGACAATCGTCGACACGAGTTTCGCGGCACGCCGCGTCGATGAAGATATATGACGGGAAATGCCTGGCGCCACGGCTGGCGTATCGCGTCGCGTATCGTCGACGAGGACGTGCGAGTGCTCGGAAAAAAAATTCGTCGTAAGTAGCGAAACTTTCTGGGAACAGCAAGGATACCCGTGGATTGAATTGTCGCGGTGGTGTAACTGCATAATTAAATGTACAAAAGATATATTTGAATGTGAAACACACAAAGCGTTAATTATATGAATAGAAAAGAGCTAAGAATCTAATGAATTAATAAATTAATGTTGTATTTTTTTTTATATAAAACAATAACTCTTTAAAAAATTGTATACACTTTCTCTTTAGCTATATTACATTTTATATATCCTTAATTAAAATTTTGCTATTAATTAGAGCTTTTTCTTAATTTTTGTGTGTTTCACATTTAATATATATCATTTACTATACATGCAAAAAGATCAATTGCATTTTTGCCAAAATTCTGACCACTCTGTGCTAAATCTTTTACGCGCAGAAGCAAAAACTAAGTCTTTTCTCCAGCGAGCGCGATCAGATCTGACCTCGAGCTTATCCGGCAAATTCAGCGTGACGGCGTTTACAGGGTGTCCGCTTTCAACGAGTTTCCTTTCGCTTCGCGTCTGGACATCTCTTAACGAACATGCGGTGGGTGAGCTTCGCGGAGTCACGCGAGACTCTCCGACGACAACCCGATACGTTAGATATCTCTCGTCATCTGAAGGAAGAGGGGTAAAGGAAAGAAGGAGGACAGAGGTGGGGTGGTTTCGGTAGATCCTTCCTCCACCGGATAGAATCTATCTCTTTCTCCATCCCTCTTTTCACCGTGTAACACGAACCAGTTCCGCCGAGTTCTCCGATTACACGCTCCCCGGACGCGCTGGAATTCCACTTTTTTTTCCACCACCTTCTCCCCTCTCACCCGTTCTTTTTTCGTGCCACTTTACTGGCGAAACGTATCGAATATAATGATGAAAACGCAAAAGCGGCATATTTTTTCCGCATCCGAATCATCTTAGTTCTCACCTTATTCTCGAAGATATTGATTGTCATTTTCGAGAATTTTTAAAAGTTAGCTCTCCACACGTTGCGAAAATTATATGTTTTTAAAGTAGCTTTCTATATTGTCAGACTAAAATTTTAACAATTGTTTGCGCAATCTCCGTAAAAAATATAGAGTTTATACTTATTAAATATAAGTAATGTTTATGATAAGATCATCAAAAATACTAATTATAAAAAATACTGCGTTTCTAAATAATGATGTGTTCTCACCTCTCTTGAGCAGTCCTGATATCCTGCCTTGTACCTGGACAGGCCGGGTTGAGCAAGCGATCTCTGTCGCTGCAAATGCCTGACCGTAAGCTCCAAAATATCGGCTTTTTCCAGCTTGCTATGCTTGGTGTTCTCCAGGCGGGCGCTGTCGAGAATGAGCGCCTTCAGCGCCGCTAAGGATTGGTTAATCCTTGCTCGCCGTCGTTTTTCCATTAGTGGTTTGTTAGCCTGAAAGATGCGTAATCCATGTGTCTGGTCAAATTCATTTCAATAATCTCTTAACCACACGTCTTCTAGACTGGACGCAGAATTCTGGTAGCACATCTTTGACATGTGATTGAAGATATATATATATGTTCGCACCACCATAAGGCACATATCAAATTATAAACCGTGAGAATTTAATGATCACACCCGTATACGCATTTGGAAGACCTTGGCCTCGACGGCTGCTCGTCACCGTGTTGCGCAGCTACGCATGGCAAGGGGAAGGGAGGATACGTTCAATATACAATTAGTTTCAAAACTTTTCAGTTAGCCCTCATATATGTGTGCACATACACATATGTGTAATAAAATATTAAGCGCATTGAAATAAATAAAATTTATATATTAATAGCTTTCTCAGATTTTTTAATATAAGATTGCAAAATATCAAATATTTGCTGAATAATTTATCTATAATAAATGTGTATCGTAATTCGGGGATTCTCTAACAACAATCAACTCTAATATATTATTCTATATATTTATATAATAATACGCCGCTAAGGATTGGTTAATCCTTGCTCGCCGTCGTTTTTCCATTAGTGGTTTGTTAGCCTGAAAGATGCGCAAACAAATCTTTTATACGCAAGTGTTAATAACTCTCTTTTTTTTTAAATTTAAATATAACAGTTACATTCGAATTTTGAAATACGCAATTGTTATTCCCGACATTTAAAAATAGAGAAATAGGTTCCGTCCTTGCAAGAACCTTTAGTATCATTTTTTACTTTTGCTTTCTTTTTATTTTAGTTTCACAGAGACTTTCGAGAATTGCTGTAGCCAATGGTATTTCATGTTTCGTCCATCAAATTTAGAATATTAAAATTTTCCCAGTTATAGAAAGTACGCGATTTCTCTCATAATACAGTCCCTTGCGAACATCTCTACGTTCCGACAAATCCTTCACTTTTTGGTGGCTTTTGACTTGTTGACCAAATGCCGATGTCGTTTCACGATGGCTCGGAGGCGGATGCGAGAGTGGGAACAATCGTGAAAGCTCCGACAGAGAGATGTGAGATAGTCGCAGACGAGCGAAGATAGAGTCGGATAAAATGGACTAGACTTTAAATGGATGGCATAGTCAGTACGCGAAGGCGTACACAACGGGTGTTCCAAAAGTGCACATAAAAAACAGATTTATTTTTGCAATGTCCCCACGATATATGTATCATACGTTAATTTTGCTAAAAAAATGCATCAATTAACTATTGAAATATGGAATTCCCGGATACTTCAAATTTTTTGGAAGACCATATAGTCGTGTATTGTGAAAGAGAACTCGTCTATACTATAAATTAATTGAGTAAACTTTGCGTGATAAATGAAATGGGCGGACGTTTCGGGAATAAAAATGAGATAGCTGATAACAGTACGACGCAAGAGTGAAAGAGAGAAATAGTATTAACACATACGTGGAAAAAAAGAGACGAAAACAAATTTACAAAGATTGGAAGAAAAAGAAAAAAGAATTGCTGCAATGAAGGAAAGAAGTAACACGTAACGTTGCAAAAAAAAAAAAAAAACAGCGTACAAAATGGCGAAACCGAACCGACACAAAGATACTTTGAATGCCGAAAGAGAGAACTTCTAAATATTCGCGATAGAACTAGAAAAAAATTGTCTGAAGAGAGACTGCAAAAACGATGTAAAAGGCGAGACGGATTTGCAGAGTCGCATTCAAATAAGAAGGAGATGACAGATATCATAAAAGACGAAGATAGCGGACTTGTAGATATATGTATAGCACGAAGCGACGAGAGCAGATAGAGTTATATAGATCTGAAAAACGAAAGAAAAGAGCGAAAGAAAGGAGAAAGGAGAAAGGAGAGTGCAATAGATATAGAGCGCAGAAAGACGAGAACGATAGCGAACGAGATATAGAGTGACAAGGACGAACAAAGTCGACTCCAACTAGAGAGGGGGAGACCGCAACTACTGTGCGAGAGTGACGTAGATAGAAAATGTGAGAAGGATAACAAACAACGGGGACGTATAGAGCAAGCCGGTGACCGCAGACGCACGAGTGCGACGAAGATAAGCTGAAGAGGAGAAGGACGGCTGGAGGGGAAACGAGGTGAAGCTGGCACGGTGCGTTCACACGGGAGCGCCGCGACGGGTAAACAAACGAGCGCGCCGCGATTCTGTTTATACGTGTGCGCGCACGTGTGTGCGCGCGCGCGTGTCATCGCCGACCGTCGCGGCACTCTTGCGTCCTTCTATTATTACAAGAGGCGCGTACGAGGGTAAGAGGGGGGGGAAGGACGACGGGTAGAAGGGAGAAGATTAGATGTGCGTCTATCAGCGATGTGCGAACTCTCGCGTGCGGGCCTCGTACGCGTGCTCTGAGAGAATTTCGTAATAGAGATGTTCAAATTTCGTTATAGCGAGAGTCGAAAGATGAAACTGGATTGAGTCGTGAACTCTTTTTTTTTCTTTTATTTTGATTTTATATATTTGCCGATTGAAAGTTGATAACATCTGATGAAGTGTCTTTATCGTCGAAATTTGAGTTTATTAACGTATCTGTTCTAAAACAAAATTTTACTGAGAAAATTAATAATAAAAATGTTAAATGTTTGCTAATAAAGAATCGATTTGAAATATATTAAACTTTAAAGGTTACATATGAATCATTTTCACCCTATCGATATTTTAACAATAGAATATCCCGAAAGATTTACACAATAAAAAAATGTTTAAAATTTATTTTTAAGCTTTTGTTACATGATCATTTTTTACAGAAAGATGTCAAGAAATATATATAAATTCTTGTAGATTTTTTCAAGCACTTTGGAATAGCTAAAACTGCGACAAGACATTGTGACCCATATGTGACCAGGAACAGAGCAAAAAAATATGTGATCTACAAAGGTTAATAATTGGAAGAGATATGAATGAAAAGATCGCCTTCGCTTGTGTGTATATTTCGATAAGAGTCTTTACTTTAATAACATCGAGTTTTATTTTTTTACACTATCTCAATATTTTTAAAATTAACAATCGACTATTTGTGGGCGATCCGTATTCAACTCTCTTTATAGTCCCTTCGCGCGAGAGTAAATTGCAGCGTTTCCCCGATAGGTATCGAAAGATAAATCCGTCGCACTCGATGTAACTTAAGATCATCGTGACGTTCTTTCACTCACAGTATGATGTGAAAAATAGTCGGGCGTGCAGGAAAAAAAGAAGACAGCTTTACAACGCTGTGACTTTGACGGTGCCGTCGATTAGCGCGTTACGCGCGATAAATCGCGTCTCGTCGCTTGCCATTTTTTGCGACTTGGCACGTACGGCACGGCGTTATGAATCACCATCGTCGTGTAAACTTCACGAACAGCCGGAATTTTTAAGACCGTTGCTTTTTAACAGCAGGCTGACCTTACTCGGTCACGGTCACCTTTTTTGTATATATATTAGAGCTACAATCCGCAGAAACTTTAACTTCTTTAGTTAAAATATACAGATTTATTAAATTATTTTTACGGCTGTCTAGGAAGCTTTATTGTATATAAAATTATTATTGTATATATAAATGTCTAAATTGCTTCTTTTAAATGTCACATTTAAGAATTTTTACCAATCGCGAAAATGTCGGAACTGACACTTACTCGTAATTAAAAAGTTAACTATTTTGCTAAAAGTAAAGAAAAATTCGATATTTTGATTGTTGTTTTCACTTGATTCCGGAAAGGTGACGTTATATACACGTATATAATATTCGCTCATTCCATTGTCATCTGGCATGTGAATTGCCGGGAACGAGATATGCCTTCGTTTCGCTCATGATAAATCGAATAAAATGCGCGGGCAACGAGCGACAGGTAATTAAACCGGGCATAACGACGATCCGTTAAGAGCCGTCAATTACACCAACGACGACAGCAACGACCAGCGCGTCCATCGTATCTGCCCCTCCTATTTCTCCTTCATCTACCATTTCGAAATCCCACGAGACTTCTCCGCTCTCAATGCGTCCAGAAATTCCCTCATTTATCGCTCCGATCCCTCAACGACGATAATCCGACATAGACGCGATAAGGATTACGAATTTCTTATTTGGCACCTTAAGGAGATAGAGAAGGAACGCTGATTAAGTGTGAGAAATTCGTACACATATTTTGCTCATTTACTAAACCTCAACTAATATAGTTTTAAATTTAGTTCAATTATACGATTTTAAACTGTTGGTAAAATTTTTTATATTTTTTATATTCTATATTCTTATATTTTTAATATTTGAATCTTATAAGTCTTTTTCCATTTTCGAGAGGTGGACCGTGATACATGTTTATTGAATTTATTGATTACTATATATTTCTTTCTTTTGTGCTTCTTTCTTTTATTAACTTAAATTTCCGTGCTATTAAAGCAGGACGATATTTCAGGTGGCGCGCATATTTCCCGCCGCAAATCCATTCCGTTAATAAAGACGAGTGCGCAAAGTTACCGCCCTTCGTCACCGCTAAGGAAACTTTCCTAATAGGAGACGCGTCGCTCGAGCGAGTATACTCTCATGCGACGCGGATCACCTTAAAAGGGCAGCACTTGATGCACGCGCGCACTGCCGGTCACGGACGCCTCCCGCCATATTCGCGATATATATTTTGCGAAATGAACCGTTCCTTTTTCGCACTCGCAGGCTTCTCTTTCTCTCTGTCTCTATCTTTAAATGAATAAATTTCATATGTACGCGTAAAAATCAAATTTTTTCTGCTATAATATTTTTATTATTTAATCCTATATAGCGTATAATGATGTATCATTTCCTCTTATCAAGTGTACAGAAGTTTGAAAAATATAAAAATGTACATAAATTAAAAAAGCATAAGAGGAAGCCGCATTTTCGTTTTCTGGTCGGCGAATTAATTGGATAATCTGAATTACGATGCTGGTAACGCGCGTGTGAGAGCGAGCGTTCGGACGTTTCGTATACGATAATCGCCCGTAAATGCGTTCAATTACCGCAAATTGACGTTATAGAAGGCTCCGACACACACACGTTCGTGCTCTTGTGATTTGCTATGTGTCGCCGCATGACAAAGAGAAATAAGGAAATGCCTTTGTAATGTGTTTCATTATTAGCAATTCACTTGTCAATGACAAATTCGAGAAGATGATTGATTGTCAGCACTTTTTAAAATCATCTCGAAGTATGGAAAAAATGCTAGTTATCCGCAATATGCTACCGAATAAATGTGCAAACAGTGTCTACTCAAACTTTCTAAAAAAAATCCCTAAAAATTTCCTGATCTTCCAGTTTTTTTTTTGTTTAAAATTCCAGATAAAGAGAATTTTTTAAGAGATTTTTTGGATGCAATTTTCTAAAATAAGTTTTTTTTTATTGTGTGCGTTTTCTAATGCTATTCATTCACATGAAAGAAAAATAAAGAGCCAGCTCAAGTTTTAAGTGCTAGATTTTAAAATGTATTAAAAAAAAATGAATAGCTTCCGTAAGATAAATATTTTTCACCTGCATAACATTTTCATTTGTTTATCACTAAAAGTTATATAATACATTAAAAATACTAAATACTGTATATTCTATTCTGTTAAGACATTAAATAAATATATAAACATAGATAGATATATAGAATATATAACAGAGAGATATACTATATATATATATATTTATAATATATTTTAAATACATATAATTCTCTCTTTCTCTCTCTCAGAACTTGGTCAATCAGTGGAGATTGCTGATTGCTTACAATATACGTGCAGAATTTTCGAAGAGAGGATCATTGTTTTCCCCTAAATTCCAATAAAATTCCAAGAGAATTCCTTAATTTTTCCAGATATAAAAAAATTATTTGAAATTTTCAGGTTCTCATGTTTTTTTAAGGAGTAGCATGGATAACAATGTGATCAGAATTGTTTTAACAATGTCAATCAAAAATTGCCATTTTTCATGTCAAAGATCTTTCAGTTGCGTGCGATTATATTTGGTCTCTCAGCGGTATGTGCGTCCAATAGAACTACTTTTTATTCTGCTTTTCCGCGCGATTTTAACGGCAAGTCCACGTGGTGAGCGATATTTTTTTTATGCCTCGAGCGGTTATGTTTTTTTATGATCCGGAAACGAGCGAAGGTCGCAACTTCGAATTCCGGAATCTCGCGAAATCCGCCGTGTTGCGAAACTGACCCACTTCGCGATGATTAGAGAGAGAAAGAGGAAAGAAAGTACCGCGGGCGCAAGTAACGCCTAGCTTGTGACTCTTTTTTTATGCATTAAGTTTTTTAGTTGCCAACTTTTCCTAGAGTCACGTTGAGAGCCGCCATTCGCTACGATTATATGGGATGGCAAGATCTCAACGTTACCTGTTTTTTTTTTTTATTATATTTATAATTATGTACAAAATGTGTGTGCAAAATATGCAAATCTATAATTAACATCGGATATAAATAGTTCGTCTAGTATTCTGAAATAATGACTTTCAGTTCGTATTAGTATATTTGATATAAACATAGATTTTTAATATACTAATATTAACGTATATATATCTATAACAAAAGAAAATAATATATTTACAAAGTACAAAATTAGTGATTTAAACGAACTTTTAATTAATATACTAAAATGATTACATGTTTTATACACACAAATGACTTCGTCACAAAAATATATTAAAATATATTTAACTCTGATTAATGAGCGAGTTTTCACATAGATATAAAATAATAAGTTGCAAACGAGGCACGTGTTTGGTATCGGGTTCGCGTCCGCGCCAGCGGTCTTATGATCGGAAATTAAGTGCGCAGAAGGATTGCAAAGTAGAATGAATCGCAATCTGGAATTACGCGGTCATGCGCCGAAAGAGATGCAACGGATGAGATCGCATCCTCATACGACTAATAAAGTATTCTTAAAACTTGTCATGAAATTATTATCTCTATATTCGCGCATATATATATTCCTATTCTAAACTCCATTTTCAAATATTTTTGTATATTTTTGAGGAAGTTAATAATACATCGTTGATATTAAAACCCTCTACATACGTAGTATATATAAGCGTAAAATAATTCTTAATAACAAAAATCTATTTTTTAATGGCACAAAACATGCAACAATGTTTTCGAATCGAAAAATTTCTCGCGTTCGTTTCTAAAAATTATGCTATATTTACTCACTCTTCGTCCGTCCGAGTGTTTGGGGCTCGGGCTGAGGCTGGGACTGGGGCTCGGTGCCGGGCTCGGACCCTGATGCACGGCCTGTTGATGCTGGTGATGCTGTCTGTGGTTGTTGCCGGCTGATTTCTTCTCCTGATGCCTCAGCGAGTGTAGACGCGCGGTCATTTTAACAGGCCGCGACGGCCTTCAGCTCTGATCGCAGCAGCACCCTACGTGATTGGCCGGATTGTGCGACTAAGGCTCTAAGCATTTCGCGGCGGCCTGCGACAGCGAGACCAGACTATCCACCAGATTATTGTCTTCCCTCGCGACTTTTGTTGGCACTAGCGATGATGTATTGCAGACTAATCACCGTTGTACCATGCCCTCGAGTGTCTCGAGAGATCAAGTAGCGCGTCGGCCAAGAGTCCCGGAACGCGAATTCAAATACGTGACAATGCACGTCAGAGTTCTCAGAGCGACGATCAAATCGCTTGGAATCGCAAAGTGCACTCACTCACAACGCGACACTAACTGATACCAACGACCTCTGTCACTTGTCCCTCGTATGCGCGTGTGATTCGATCATTTGGCGCGCCAAATATGTCCAGAGAGAAGGAAAGTTCTACGAAAGTTCACACCATTGACGGGCGGCTGTACACACCGGCGCGCACACCGCGCCACGTGGTTAACCACGCGTCACCGAACCACTTGTCACCCGCGAGCGTAACAGCCGTTGGTGGCTCGTGTGTTCGCCGTTGATTCTTATCCAATTCCTCGTTTGTTCCGAAAATTGTCTCACAATGTACACCCCGATAAACAATCGAAATGCACTTATTCACAAATACTCGAGTGGTGAAATAACGTTCCGTTTATATCGATATTCTTAAATGATGCGCGTTGAATGACGTTTCTTTATTGATATCAGAATCGAGTATAGCGATCGACTCGATCTTAATGCGAAAAACAATTCTCCTACGATTTGAAATACAGAGAATTTCTGCTTATGAGCTCGCGAATTGCAAACTCACAATTTACCCGAAAATTCAACGAGGTAATCCGTTCTCGTGTCAACTTACGCACGAAAGATCGAGATCACTGTCAGCGTTAACAAAATACACGCAACGCGTGCAATCTGACTATGATATCGTCCACGTGTGCTCGCGCAACGAGCGACGGTGTCGGACTGTGAGGCGGTGAACGGTAGCTGCTGGCGGCTGTACGCGGCGAGCTTGGCGCGTCGAGGCCGCGCGCGTCGGCAGCAAGGGCGGCGGTGGGGGGCGGGGGGGGGTTAGGGAGGAAGAGACGGCTCGCGTCGTGGTTGGTCGTGCGTGGGGGGAGGGATGCCGGAGCACAGCGGATAGCTCGTCTGTTCGGCGTGGCGCGGCACGGCGTGGCGAAGCGAGGATACGGCACGGCGTGGCACGGCACGGCGCGACGCGAGCGGCGTGGCGGCGGGTCGGTCGGAAGGCTCGCTTGCCTGCTCACGCGCGCCTCTGCCTGCGGCTACGTGCGGACATCTCCTGTTCCCGTCCTCCTCTCGCTTACGCTCGCTCGTTTTGTCGCGGCCGCGTCCTTCTCGCGCGCGTCGTGCCTTCGCCTCTTTATCGCTCTCTTTCTCCTTCTCTCTCTCTCAGAGCCGCTTTATTGTCTAGCCACCGTGAAGCAGCGTCGAAGCAAGAACCGATTTGGATATCGGTGGATCTTTTTCTCCTCCCCTTCCTTTTTTAAAAAAGCCAATATTTTTTCATTTTTTATTATAATTTCAAGCTTTGATTTTTCATAGATAATTTGTATTGATTAGTTACTATCTATATTTATTACTTTATTATATCTATTCTTGTCGTAGACGCTATTGACATATTTAATATTAATGCTATTTCGAATAAATAAACAAAAATTAATTTTGTTAATGTAAATAGCATTATTAATTTATGTTTAATGCATGTGTGGAAAGAGAGATAAAATTAAGAATTACATATTAATTAAAAATTTTACTGTAGACAATTCTATATTAGTAAATTAATCGCCGATGAATTAAATCTTTTTTTCCATATGTCAAACAATAAAAACTGATAATTCTTTTTCATCCACATGAAAATATTATCTCGCATAAGTTAATCAGTTTGGTCAAAGTGTACTTTAAAATGGGATTTATGATATTTTCTCTTTTTTGGTTTTTTTTTTTTTTTTTTTTTTTAATCGATGTCTGTTCGACTGCCTCTACCCCTACGATTTTTCGAGATAAATGAGAATTAAAACTGCCGCGCGCGCGACGAGCGCCGACTAAATGCATTTATATACATAGAGATAGATGATACCACGCGAAAAGGATACTTACGCCCCTTTTTTCTGTTGCTTAAGCACAACTTCGCGGGACATATGCGTTCATAATTGATTACATTATTTATATGTACATATACATATATGCCACAGAAGTCTCGCGATTCTATTTATTTATAAAAAATATAATAAAGAATTGTGCCACATATAAGATAAAAAGAAATTGTCAGTATTATAGTATTCATAGAAAAGATAGAAAATAAACTTCGATCATATACATATATGTATAGTCCGTATTCAAAATCTCGAATCAGAGAAAGATAATTTGACAATACTTGGCATTTAACTCTAACAATTCTCTATCATCAAGAAAATAAGAGAAATGAAACAAAAATATAAAATACTGCATTTTTTTGCTCGAAACTTGACCGCAACTCTCAGATTTTTTATTTGTCACGAAGTCACCCATGAAATGCGTCGCTAATACTTAGTAGGTCGCCGATATCGATCTACACATCGCTTACAAATGGTGTAAAGCATCGCGCGATTCCCGCTGAAACATCGTCACGCTTGAGAAAGAAGACGAGCCCGCGCGCGCTTCTACGCATCGCGCGGCATGGCACGCGATAAGAATCGTTGGGATTCGCACGCACGTCGGCCTTTAATCTCCTCGTCTCTCAACGCGCGCGAAAAGGCCGCGGCGGCGGCGGCACGTCATGTGCGACGGAATAGCCGCAAAGAGGTGGCGAGACGAAGAAGGGGCGAAAAACGCCGAAGCGACGCGACGGGTCGCGGTCGGCGGCGCGGTCGAAGGTAGGGT